ATTAAAGTGAATAGCCCTCGCTCTTGCTCCTTTGCAAAGCATAGGGTAAGCCTTCTCTGGATCAAGATAATTTTTTCCAGAGCCTCTACAATTCTTCATAGTTAATGTGTGACATTCTATTAAAACTGCCAGGCAAGCCAAGAGCTGGGGGGTAAGGGAGAAGACCAACACCAATGGAAAGAATATACAATAGAAACAGACCCACAGAAGATCCAGCTATTGTAATGATCAGAAAGAGCTTTAAAATACCTACGATAAATATATGTTCAAGAAAATAGAGGCAAAGATAGAGAAAATATATAAAAAGATGGAGAACTTCTCCAATGAATTGGGTTTTATTTTTAAAAATCATATGAAAATTCTAGAACTTAAAAATATGACTAAAATTAAGAACTAATGGGTTTAAAAGCAGATATAGTTGGATAAAAATATACAGACTCATACACAAAAAGAGAAAAAAGAGAAAAAGATGATAGAAAATAAAGATGATGAACAATGAAAAATTCTTATATGTGTATAATTCAAGCCCTAAAAGGAAAAGAGATGAGAAGAAATAGTGATCAAGAATTTCCTAAAACAGATAAAAGATATCAAAGCTACAAATTCAAAGGACTCCATGAGGGCTGGCCCGTGGCTCACTCGGGAGAGTGTGGTGCTGATAACACCAAGGCCACAGGTTTGGATCCCTATATAGGGATGGCCGGTTAGCTCAATGAGTAAGCGTGGTGCTGACAACACCAAGTCAAGGGTTAAGATCCTATTACTGGTCATCTTTTAAAAAATAAAACAAAACAAACAAAAAAAACAAAGGACTCCATGAGTGTCACCCATTCCACTCATGAACACAGGTGGGATGAATACAAAGAAAAGTACAACTAGACATATTATAGTAAACTGCTGAAAACTAAAGACAAAAAAAAAAAACCCCTCAAAAAGTAGTCAGAGGACAAAAAAGACACTGCTTTCAAAGGAGTAAAAAGGAATGACAAAAAGTAGAATGGAAGCACATCTTTACAGTGCTGAAAAAAACTTATAGCCATCAATAATGACAAGTAATATCAAGTTTTTAAGCAAAAAACACAAAAAACAAAATCCCAGAGAGAACTTGTCACCAGCAGACCTGCTGTAAAAGAGGAATTACTCAAACGGAAGGAAAAAATTCTAGACAGAAGCACAGAAATGCATACTTAAACAAAGAGCAATATAAAAGTATGTAACACGAAATTGGAGCGGGCGGCGCTTTTTTGAGCAAGACTACAAAGGTACAGATAAGTAAAGCAAAACTAGACAGAGGGGAGTACATCAAACTAAAAGCTTCTGCACAGCAAAGGACACAATCAACAAAGTAAAGAGACAGTCTGCAGAACGGGAGAAAATGTTTGCAAACTACACATCAGAGGCTCTTGCATCCAGAATGTATAAGGAACTCAAACAACTCAACAGCAAAACAAACAAAAAACCCAATTAAAAAACAGGCAAAAGGATCTGAACAGACATTTCTTAAAAGAAAACATACAAATGGCCAACAGGCACATGAAAAAATGCTCAACATTCCTAATCATCGGGGAAATGCAAATTAAAATCATAATGAAAGACCACCTTACTTCAGGTAGACTGGCTGTTTTCAACAAGAAAGAAAACGTGCTGGCGAGGATGCGCAGGAAAGGGAACCCTCCCACACTGTTGGTAGGAATGTAAATTGGTGCATCAGGTGTGGAAAACAGAATGGAGGTTCCTCACAGAACTCAAAATTGAACTACCATTTCATGTTACATACTCATTCCTTGTTATCATTGAATGGTTAAGTAGTCTGTAGTAAAGAATTAGGCTAAGGATTAGAGTGGAGGAGGGATATAGGATAGGAAAGTATGGGTTGAGGCATAAAACAGGGCTTGGGGTGGGTTGGAAACTCCATCTCTTTACTAGTGGCTTAAACGATCTTTATTCCCTAGCTATAGAGACAGCGAGCGAGCGAGCTCCTACCACTTGCCCAACAGTATAACACCGCTAGGCACTGGAGATGCAAAAAGGCGTCATAGGAGAGCATTTGTTGGGGGACACATTTATATAGCATTTGTAAGGACCACACATAAAGCGCAGAAGGAATAGAGCAAATGATCAATACCATGGAGTTCAGAAAGGCAAGTAACATACAGCCAAGATAGTGAGTGAGAGGTCTTTAAAAGTCAAAGCTGAGATAAGGCAAGGAGGTGCTGGGAAGGACGGTTTAGGCAGGGGCACCAAGCACATCAAAGGCAAGGAGCAGAAGTACACTTCCACATGCAGCTATGCACCGCTTCGTGTGTCTTTCCATTCGCCATTTACCGCCTTTTCAGCGAATGCAGAAAAAGAGTCCGACTCAGTACCCGCCTCAAGGAGCGTAAGCTGGATGAGAGACAAGACCACGACGCGTACGCGCACCCGGCGGCGGACGGACGGTCCCGGAGGGCGGGCGACGCTCCAGCGCGACGGCGAAGGACAGGAAGGGAGCGGCGGAGAGCGACGGCTTCTTTGCCTCCGCGCCCCAGCCGCGACGGTGGGTACGCTCGCCGCCCAGCGCTCGGGTGCCGGCGCCCGCC